AAAAGCACACAGTTTGAGTCCATTAGCTGCTCCATGGGAGAAGGATGGAGAGTCTCTTCCCATGCAATTAAACTGACCCTGAAAACCCACTTTAGGTTCAACTACGAGTCAGTTCTGACTTGATGGCACACCACAACAACAGCAACTGTGATGTATATGTCCTCACAACAGAAAGAACATTAAAAGTCCTAAGTCTTAGGCATTTTTATTAAGGTATGTTGTTACTATGTGCCATCGAGTTGCCTGCAACTCATAGCGACCCTACCTATAATAGTTCTGAGGCCTGCCCTGTCCTCAGCCAGTCTCATTGACTCCAACACACCTACTCTCATTATCCCAGTTACTGTATCAATCAGTCTCATCCTAGGTCTTCCTTTCCTGCACTGTCCCTCCACCCTTCCAAGCATGATGTCCTGCTCCAAGGACTGGTACCTCCTGGCCACGTGCTCAAAGTGTGTGAGGCAGAGCTTCAAATCCGAGCCTCCAAGGAGAAACTTCATTTCACCCCCTCCAAGACAGACCTATTTGTTTTCTTGGTCATCCATGATATGTTCATTTATTAAATTAAGCTATATTGAACATAAAGATTCTCACTACTGGGCCAATTGACAGCACCATGAAAGACGGAGAAGAGACTGAGGTTGTTCACAATTTCAGCTTGCTTAGCTCCACAATCAAACTCTTGGCACTAGCAGTCAGGAAATCAAAAGACAAATTGCACTGGAAAAATCTGCTGTCGGTCATCTTTCCAGAGTACTGAGAAGTAACAATGTCAGTCTAGAGACTAAGGTGTGCCTGATACAGGCCATGGTTCACAATTACTTGCTTTGCATCAGAGAGCTGGACAATGACTAAGTATGACAGAAGAAGCGATGTCTTTAAGTTGTGGTGCTGGAAAAGTCTTGAACATACCATGGACCAGCAAGAAAACAAGTAAATTTGTCTTGAAGAGGGTGAACCCAACTTTCTCCTTGGAGGCTAGGATTTTGAAGCTCCATCTCACATACTTTGGACACATGGCCAGGAGAGACCAATCCCTGGAGAAGAACATCATGCTTGGAAGGGTGGAGGGACAGTGCAAGAGAGGAAGAGCCCAGATGAGATGGAGTAAGTGGAGCAATGTGGATCTGTGTACTGGAGTCAGTGAGACTGGCTCAGGACAGGGCAGGCTTCAGTCCTGCTGTACATAGTAGGGTCACTGTGAGTCGCAGGAGAGTCAGCAACAAATAACAACAACATTGCACATGAAATTTAACCTTTCTCAAAATATGTATTTAAATAAGTCAAAGCCGTTGCTTTGCTGTCAGAATCACTCACAGCTGGCCCTCCAGCGGGTTTTCAGAGTCACGCAGGAGGTGATGGCTCATCTTTCTCCTGAGGAGCCGCTGGTGTGTTCCCACCATCAGAGAGGGGCCAGCTTTGCGTTAGTAGCACAATTCTCTCCCGATTACCCACCAGAACTTTCTGTATAGTTACATAATGTCACCAGAATGAAGTCTTGTAATCTTTCCTTCCTTCACCCCGAAACTGTCTCTGCCCTTTGCTGTCAATCTCCACCCTACTCCAGCCCTCTGAAAATATCCATGTTTTTTTTTTTCCTTAAAGTTATACCAATATTGGCATATCATAGACAAGGGATTGTCTCTTTCACCGAAATGCAATCATTGCCTGGCTTCTTTCACTCAGGGTATAGTTTTGTGAGATTCATCCCTGACGCTGTATACTTTATGAATATATTACCATTGATCTTTATCAGTTCGATTCTCTTCCACAGTGGGTTTATCCACTGTATTGTTGAGCATCTGGGAAGGGCATTTCTGTTCTCGTGTATGCCCCATTTATCTCCTCTACAGGCTAACAAGTTAAAAATCAAAGTCATTGCTATGGAGTCAGAGCTAACTCCTAGCTCACCCTCCAGCAGGTTTTCAGGGGCTGTAAATCACACCAGAGGAGATTATTGCTCATCTTTCTGCCCCAGAGCAGCTGGTGGATTTGAATTACCTGTCTTTGATAGCCGTACAACTTACCTGCTAGGCTATCAGCATATACTTTAGTGAGCTACAGTTCCCTAAGAAGTCATATCTGTGAGATTGAGGGTCAAGTTTCATTTCCCCTCCCTCGGTTACTATCTACGTGACCCAACATCATTATAATTAAGTCCTTTCCCCTCTGAAACTAACTGTCCAGACGCAAGTAGCCTTTCTTCTGAATTCTCCATTCTGTCCGACCTATTTGTTGTTGTTGTTATGTGCCATCGAGTCGCTTTCAACTCATAGTGACCCTATGTACAACAGCCCTAAACTCTGCTCTGTCCTGTGCCAATCGCACTGTCTCTGACACTCCCATCCCGATTATCCCAGTCACTGAATCAATCCACCTCATAGAGGGCCTTCCTCTCCTGCACTGTCCCTCCACCCTCCCAAGCATGATGTCCCTCTCTAAGGACCGGTCTCTCCTCACAACATGTCCAAAGTATGTTAGATGGAGCCTCAGAATCCTTGCCTCCAAGGAGCCACCCAGTTTAACCCTTTTCAGGACAAATCTGTTTGTTTTCCTAGCAGTCCATGGTACCCTCAATACTATTCTCCAGCACAACAGTTCAAAGGCATCAATTCTCCTTCTATCCTCCTTGGTCATTGTCCAACTCTCTGATGCATAACAAGTGATTATGAAGACCGTGGCCTGTATCAGACGCACCTTAGTCTCCAGAGAGACACCATTGCTCTTCAGTACTTTGGAGAGGTCCCTAACAGCAGACTTTCCCATGGCAATTTCCTGGCTGCTGGTGCCAAGACTGTTGACTGTGGAGCCAAGCAAACTAAAGCTGTATACAATCTCAATCTCTTCACCATCCATCCTGATGCTGCCAGTTGGTCCAGTGGTGAGAATCTTTGTCTTCTTGACACTGAGCCTCAATCCATATTGTAGGCTGCAGTCCTTGACCCTCTGCAGCAGGTGCTTCAGGTCCTCTTCAGATTCAGCAAGCAGGGTTGTGTCATCTGCATAACGCAGACTGTTGATAAATCATCCACCAATCTTGACCCCACATTTCTCCTCATAGAGCCCAGCCTCCCAGATAATCTGACCTAGTAAGTTTAATTAATCTTCCACTTTGTTCTTTTTCAAGCTTTTCGTGACTTGAAACACTTGTTGAAGAAGATTGGGGGGGAAAAAGCAGCCTTCGGTATGGATTGCATCTTAATGTCAAGAAAACAAACATTCTTACCACTGGACCAATAGGCACAATGGATAGAGAGGAGATTGAAACTGTCAACAGCTTCATCTTGCTTGGATCCACAATTAACACCCTTGGTACCAGCAGTCAGGATATAAGGAGAAGCATTGCACTGGGAAAATCTAGTTAGGGACCTCTCCAAATTCTTTTTTAAGAGAATAAAGTAAAATTAAAATTTATTTCAAATTAAATAAACATGCATATAAAATAATAGGAAAACCACAAAAACTAAAGAGGACAATTAAGGAAATGTTATAGAACTATTCCAAAATTTCTTAGCGTTGTAATATTCTTTTCATAAGTAAATAAGCATACTTTTACCTTATCCCAAAAATCAAAGCTGTAAAGTCCCATTTCATAGAATATGCCTTGTTGTATTTCAGTATAGCATCCTTCAGGTTTTGAGGAGGATAGAGTTCAGGTGATATACACGAGATCAGGCAGGACGATCTAGCTTTTATTGATTGTTGGGCTTGCCTGCTTCCTAAGCTGCTGGGTACAACCCCAAGGCCAACCCCAGTCCTCTAGCTATAGCCTGTCAATGTCCTCATCCAGGCTCCTCTGGAAGCAGGTGGCCTACGGGGAAGAGCAAACTGCCTTGCACAGCAGAAACAACTGAACCACAGTTTGTTTCTTTTGTACGAGGCTGTTTTGGATGTTCACACTCCAGCCCCAAAAGAGAGCCCACTGCCAGACCTATCTACAGGCCCCAGCGGTCACTGGCTCAGCCACACTTGGAATCCACTTGTACCCTCACTTTGCCCATCTGGCCAAGTGCACTGAGTGTCGCTTTGCTGCAGCTCGTTTATTTCCAATAAAAGTTTCTGTGACTGAAAAAAAAAAGTCTCCAAATTATTGAGGAGTAATGATATCAGTTTGAGAAATGATTCAGGCCATAGTCTTTCTGCTCACTTGCTATTCATCTGAGAGCTCGAGAATGAATTAAGGATGACAGAAAAAGAATTGACGCCTTTGAGCGGTGGTGTTGGAGAAGAGCACTGAACACCTATGGACAGCCAAGAGAATGAATAGATATGTCTTGGAAAGGAAGGGTGCAGGGGGAGGCAAGAATGATGAGGCTTCGCTTAACATACTTTGGTCATGTTGCTAAGGAGGGGATATTCCTTGGAGAGGGAAATGATTTTGGGATGGGTGGATGGTCAGCATAGGAGAAGACCCTCAACCAGGTAGACTGATGGCGGTTACTGCTGCAATGGGCTCTTGTGTGTCAGAAAGTGTGAAGACACAAGATAGAACAAGGTTCAGGTCTTTTGTTCATAGGGTCGCTATGAGTCGAGCTCGACTCGACAACAATATTCTGAATCCTGCACATAATAATATAAACTCTGGTGGTGTCGCCTATAGGGAGTTTTGTTGCTAACCCAAAGGCTGAGCTTTGTTGGTTGTTTGAACCCACCAACTTCTCTTGGAGAAGATCAGAGGGCGATTTTCAGCGTCTGAAACCCGCTAGAGGGTGAGTTAGGGGTTGGTCCTAATTCAATGAGAATGACTCAATCTTGACTTTGCAACACCCTGCATGGGCCGTATGCGTGGTGGGATCCAAGGAAACGCTGCTGACGCTTCATTGGTCTAGGTGTCACCCTCTGCCTCCACCCAGGGCGCACCGGAGGCTGGCGGGGCGGAGCGCGTCCTTCCCTCCCTAATCCCACCGCCTTTATAGAGCCTCTCCCCGCCCCGCCGCCACCTCGCCTAACCGGCCGGAAGGGCGCTCCATCCTGCTTCCCTCCGCTGCAACTGGGCCAGGATGGCAGCGGCTCCAGGAGACAGCAGCCCCAGCGGCGACAGCCGGCTGGACCGAGAGACGGCCCAGTGGCTGCGATGGGACCAGGTGAGTGGCAACAAGGGGCGTCCGAGCCCCGGGAGGCGCCCACCAGCCGCTTGCTCCAGCATCGAGTTTCCAGTAGCGAGTGGGCGCCGGTGCCGCTGGCGGCGCCAGTACTTGCTGCACCCGGTGCCTTTGCTCCCCGCAGTGGGGGGAGCGCAGGCGGGAGCGGCGGCAGCATCCCCTTCCTGGCCTCCCGGGGCTGCCTCCGAGTCTCCGGGGGAAGCCGTGTCCGGGATGCCGGCAGTCACTGGGGCTGGGAGGGGCTCCAAGGTCGCGACCGAGGGAACGAGCCGGGGTTGGTCGGGACGCGGCGCGCGCTGAGCTCTGTGTGGCAGAGCGCGCTTGGGCCGCTGTCACTCAGACCGTGGGATCGTCCTCATCCGCTGTCTGGGCGGGCACACACACCATGAATAGTTCCTGTGGGTTCCTCTCGCTTTGGGGGCCTTGGGGGAGCTGCAGTTCCGTCCGCTTCTCCCAGGGGCGTGGCTGCAAGCACTGGCCTGGCTGAGTGGATCCGTATGCGTCCCGGAAAAAGTTCTCCTTGTTTTCTGAGAAAACAGGAGGGAAACCTCTGCACACATCACCTCCAGCTTATCTCTCTAAACTCTTCTTAGGTCCAAGAATAAAGACTGAATCTGAGACACAGCCTGGCACTTCATTCCCCCTTTTATTTACTTGAGTTTCCCCCTCTCTATCTACCGCTTCCTTCCTGTGTGCTGTTAATTTTCCCAGATTCCCTCTTTCTGCACAACTCTTTTCTTCCTGGTGTTTCACTTCCGAGCTGTGTTCGCTTAGGCAAGCCTGTTCTGGCTGCCACTACGTAAACATTTTTACCCTCAAAGCAACTTGATTTTGATTGTTTTTCTCCTCGGCTTCCCCCCCCCCCCCCATTAGAGCGTCTTGCTCTTATGCGGAAAAGAACGAAATTGTTTGTAGAAGATTTTTTTTTTCCTTTTTAAATGTCTGCATCCAGGACTGATTTCAGGAGCTTTGCTGTACACTTCTTGAAATCCTTAAGAGTTTTTGAACAAAAAATTTGGCCTAGTCATTTCACATTGGGCTAGCAGACTGTCCTGTCTTTTCTCTGACTAGATTTTGCTGTTTTGAAACTTATTACAGTGCATGATATATTATTTTAAAAAAACAACAACAAAACACAAACCCACAAGAATCAATTGTCACTGATGGATTTTGACTCATAGTGGCTGAAGAGATAGATCTAAGTAGAATTCTCCCATGAGTCTAGAGTTTAACGTGTGCCTGCCTGATCCGTGCCATGGTCTTTGCAATTACTTGCTATGTATCAGAGAGCTGGACAGTGACTAAGGATGACAGAAAAAGAATTGATGCCTTTGAATTGTGGTGCTGGAGAAGAATACTGACCATACCATGGAATGCCAGGAGAACAAATAGGTCTGTCTTGGAAAGGGTGAAACCAAATTGGTCTCTGGAGGCAAGGATTTTGAAGCTCCATCTCACATACTTTGGGCATATGGCCAGGAGGGACCAGTCCTTGGAGAAGGTTGGAAGGGCTGAAGGACAGCACGGAAGGAGAGCCCGGGTGATATGGATTGACATGGTACTGGAGTCAGTGAGACTGGCTCAAAATAGGTCAGGGTTCAGAGATATTGTACATAGTGTTGCTATCAATCTCAGGTGACTTGTGGCACATAAGAACCACTGCCATTATTATTTACCTCTTCTCTCCAGCTTTTCCAGCTTGAAACAGATCTTGAGGAAAGACTCCCTTTATCCCTGCCACGCCTTCCTCGAATGAGCTAAGGAACCTCTAATAAGCTTCAGGCCACCAGGAGGCCTTGCCACCTTATGTCAACATTATACTTTTGTCTTTGTCACTTTTGGTTACTCCCTTGAATGGATCTTATCTTGACTTTTGGTTCTTGTCTCTTTGGTTTCTCTTACGCTACCTGGCCTTTCATAGACATCAAAGAGCAATTTTGTGTAGTTTAGAGTCCTGACCCACAGCTGACCCGTCAGTGGGTTTTCAGAGGCAGTTAATTACAAGACAAGAGATTGCTTCTTTAATGCTTATGCTGTTAAGCAAGTCAGCCACTTTCTGTGGCTTCCTCCTTTTCCTGCCTCTTGGGGTCCTTCAAAGATTTACATTTGACTAAGTATGTGAAAGCATTGTTTAAATGCTCAAACTAAAAAAAAAATGTAAGGTTTTGATTTAGGTTGTATAATCTGTGACAATTGGAGGATTCTGGGGAAGAAAGCAGAGAATATTTAATTGTAACAACCATCAGACAGGGACCTCTGAGATCTGTAGTTAGGCACTCTCCAAATTATTGAGAGGTAACAATGCCAGCTTGAGGACGAAGGTGAGCCTGATTTGGACAATGGCCTTTTCAGTTTTCCTGTGTGTCTGAGAGCTGGACAATGACTAAGGATGACAGAAGAAAAATTGATATATTTGAATTGTGGTATTGGGGAAGAGACCCAAAGATCCCGTGGACTGCCAAAAGAATGAACAAATATGTCTTGGAGAGGGTGCAGCCAGAGTGCTCCTTGGAAGCAGCAAAGATGATGATGCTTCTTCTCACATACGTTGGGCATGTTGCTAGGGGAGGATATTCTTTGGAGAGGGACATCATACTTGGAAAGAGTAGCGGTGAAAGAGAGGAAGACCTGCAACTAGGTGGGCTGGCATGATGACTGTGGCCCTGGGCTTGAGTGTGTCAGAGTTTGTGAGGACGGCACAGGATAGGACAGGGTTCATATTTCTTATTCATATTGTTGCTGATGTTAGATGGATCTTGGCTGAAAGCAGAGAATACCAGAAGAATGTCTATCTGTGTTTCATTGATTATGCAAAGGCATTTGAC